AGGTGAAAACCCTGGGACTCATAGGATGTCAGGATGTCGGGAAAGGGCAAGACTGTGGCCTTGGGGCCCTGATTCAGTCAGGCCTGAATGCTGCTTGGGTTGGAATTTCAGATCTCGCCCTTCCTCACCCTGCCATGTCACCTCTTAGAGCCTCAGCTTTCTATTTACATAGTGAGGGACAGAGGTATCTCCTCCCTTGTAGTGTTGGGAAGAATAAATGAGGAGCTGAGCCGGGAGCCCCAAGGACAGGGCGCTGCTCAGGAGACTCCAGCACAGTGCCTGTGAGCTGTTACCATGGTTATTTTATAATTATCTGCTGAGCCTTCTTGTTGCATTGTCTCCTCTGCTCAGCAGGTTTCAGCCCCTCTACTGTGGGGTCACAGCTCTGGCTGCACATTTCCGGCCTGCCCTCTGCCCTCTGGCCAGGCCAGGGAGATCAAGGGCCCTGACTCCTTTCATCTGTCCTCCCAGACATCCTGGAATATTGCAGAAGGAGGCTTGGGCTTCAGCGGGGCTGCTCTGCTCACCAGTGACGCTCTGTGAACTGGAGGGGTTGTCTGCTGCCCTCTGGGCCACTCCTCTGCTACAAAGGGAATGATGTGGTAAGCCAGGAGTGTTTGGCACTTGGCCTTCTTCTGGCTTAGGATGGCACCCAGCCCCCATTTTACAAGGGCAGGGCAGGTCCTTTCTGTGTGTGAAGACCTTGTGTCCCTACAGACTGGGCTTGGCAGGAACACCCTTGACCTTAGGTTTCTGACCCGTGACCTGGCTCTGGGAGAAGCTGGGAGGACTTGGGTCCTGCAGGCTGGTGCCCGGTGGTTAGCATCAGCACCCTGCTGTCTCCCCTGGTAACTGGCCAGGTGACCTGCTGGAGGCTGCTGTCTGAGAAGGATGAGTTCACCTGCTCCTAGCTCTTGTCTGACTCGAATTCGGCCAAGAATGCTTCCCCTTGTCTTGGGTTTAAGCCTTTAGGCTGACTTTTGGCCTACTACCCCAGTGCAGGTCTGCACCCACGCACTTGTGTCCTGGAAGCCAGGCCCTCTGCCCAGGCTGGATCCCTGCTGGGCCTCAGCCAGGGTTGCCATCACCATGGAGGCCTCTGACCGCCCCCCCTCCCCAGTCCCAATTGCCATGCCACTGACACATTCCCCTCCTCTTTGCTCTGCACGCCCACGGTCCCCAACTGCCAGCAAGAGGAAGCCAGGCCTGAGGCCTCTTGTTTTGCTTCCCCTCAGGCACGCAGAGGCTCAAGGACCCTTGGGGCACTCAGCTACCCTTCCCATCTCCTCCCCACCCACTGAGTCCTGCTCAGCTACCATGTGCCTGCTTATGTTTCAGCCTGTTGCAACCTCTCCTCAGGGCCCTTTTCCTCCTGGGTAACCAGCCACCCCCTCCCTGTCTTGCCACCTGATTCCTGCAACTGGGCGTCAGGCCCGCTTTGCTCACTACAGCATCCCTAGCACCTAGGAGCCGCTCAGTGAGTATCAGCCTCAAGTGGGGAAGACGAAGAAGGCTCCAGGGAAGGACTGGTGGCTTGAACACCCAGGCAGAGAGAAGCAAGGGGAAAAGCCTCAGGGAAGGAGTGAGCCTCTGCCACAGAGTCACAGTGAGAAGCAGGCTTGGAACAGGGACCAGGGCCTGCAGTTGGCTGGGGCAGTTTGGGATATCTCTGTGGAAACTGTAAAGTACAGTTCTGAGCCCTGAGTCCTGAGCCTGGTGGTTTCAGATACACTACGCACAGCAAGCCACGTAGGGAACAGCAGGGCCAGGCTGGAATGCCTGGGGTGCCAGGGATGGGTCTGCCTTCCCATTCTTTGCTTCAGGGGTAAACAGGCCTGGAGCTGGGCTTGGCACATTGGCTGCTGCTGAGCTGGGGCCACCAGGGCCTTGAGTGAGATGTGGCCAGTGCCCCTGGTCCTGTGGATCAAGATAGCTCTGGTTACGGGTCCACTGCCAGTTGTGTGGGGCCTGGCCTCTTGTGCCCTACTCTCCTCCTGCCCTTACTTGTAGCTTTGAATTGGCGGGAGAAAAAAGAAAAGAGATGGATTCTGGAGGCAGGGGTCTGTATACCTCACTGCTCTCCATCTCAGCAGCGTCCACATTAATAGCATCTACTGTCTGCTGGTACCTTAGGTGGGGAGATGGTCCCTGCAGGCCCTGGTAGTGTGCTAGGCCTGCCTTGTCCATCAATAAGGATGAGTCATTTAAGCAAAAGATTTCTGTTTCACTTATAGAATTTTTTTCTCTTTTTGAGACAGGATCTTGCTGTGTAGTTCAGGCTGGCTTGGAACTCACTATATAGCATAGGCTGGCCTCAAACTCTTAGTGATCTTCCTGCCTCAGCCTTCTGAGTGCTGGGACTATAGGCATGCAGCTAACAGAACATTTTAAGCAAAACAGTGCACAGAATCACTCATCTACCAGCTCAGACCAGCAACTCTTCCATCTGTGTAATGGGGTAGTTACCATGAATGGAAACGATGCGGCTGCTCAGGCCCAGAGAGGGCAGGGTCACACAGTTAGGGGAAGGAAGAGCTGGAACTCGAACTCTTATCTGGGGATCCCAAGTCCACGTGTTCTCTTCAGCCAACCAGTCGGTACCAGTCAGTGCTCTGTGCTGGGCAACGGCCAGGCTGTGGTCCTTACCCTCAAGGTGGGGCAGACACACCAGAACAGACCTGGCATGCGTCTCCATCAGGGGTGTGGCAGGAAGCATGTCCTGGAGGAAGTGGCATTTACTCAGGACCCTGAAGGTTGAGGAAGGTTTAGAAGGTGACAGTAGAGGAGAGGGGCATTTCTGCCAGGGGTCACAGCCCAAGCAAAGGCCAGGCGGGTGGTTAAAAATAAAGAGCACTTTGAGAGCAAGAGCACTCAGTAATGAAACTGTTGTGCTAGCCACACCTTGCTGAGAAGCTCAGATTCCGGGGCGAGGCACTCAGAGCCAGCAGTGGCTCTAGGCTGAAGGCGACATCTGTGCCTGCAGGGTCAGTGCTTCTCCGTTGCCTTTCTCCCTCGATGTAATGGTGGGTAGGGGCATGAACAAGAGCTCACTCACACCTTGGCCACCTCATTTCCTGTCTTTGTCCATTTTGCAGGCTGACATTCGGCAGCTTATATGTCATGCTCCAAGTCACATTATCTGGGAATGGCAGAGTTGAGTCTTAAACCTGGGTCTGTAGATCCATAGTCTGTGCTTTGTTTTGTTTTGTTTTGATCATTTTGTTTTTCTTTTTTCTTTTTTGTTCCGGGGATTGAACTCACGACTTTCCGCTTGCCAGGCAGGCGAGTATGCTGCTGAGCTAAATCCTCGCTTGGTCTTCTTTTTTGAGACAGGGTCTCACTATTATGTAGTTCAGGCTCATCTTGAAATCACTGTGTAGCCCAGGTTGGCCTTATCCTTGCAGTGATCCTCCTGCCTCAGCCTCCCAAGTGCTGGGGTTACAGACTGTGCTTTTGCACTATCATCATAGCTCTAGAAAAATGTCTGATGAACTGGCGATGGATTTAAGGATACACTAGAAATATTTCTAGAAATATTTAAACAACCATCTCTCCAGAAGAAAGAATGAAAGCTTGATTTGTAGCATTTACTGCTCTCCAAGGTATAAATACTCTGTCTGTGCCAGCGTGACATTGGAAAGTGTGGCATTCAAAACAGTTTAGCACAATCAGTTCTTGCAAGAGGGGTGAGCAGGGAAGAGGTGCTCCCCCCCCCCTAGTGTGGTCACTAAAGCCCCTGAGATACAGGAGCTAATGCAGGAGTGAACCTGGGCTGCGGAACCTGCTCCTCCAGCTGGGCTGCCCTGAGTCCTGGGAAGCTGCAGTTAATTTTTAAACCAGCCTTGCAAACAGTGCAGTCCTTCCACAGGCCCAGCTGCCTTCTGGCTCTGGCTTTACTGTAACTTTCCGGGAGACCTCCAGCAGCCCCTTTCCCCTCTGGCCTCCAAGTCTCACCATAAGATAAATCCTGGCCACCTTCACACTTGTCAGTTCAGCTTTTCCAGGAATCTTATGTGACCAGTTTATTCCTGTTTTACAGAGAGAAGATTGTGTTGGAGAAGCTGCTGGATTTGTTCAAGGCACAGCAGGGTGCAACTGGCCTAGGTGTGAACCAGATCTGCCAGGCTCAAGGCCTTGTTCCTTCCTGGCTGCCTTGGAAGTATATTGTGCCCTGAGACTTTTACTACTCACATTCTAGGATGATGCCCCTCACAGCTGCTCTGAGCAGGAACAGCAGTTAGGCGAGAAGCTCAGGCCTGTGCCCCTTTGATCTGGCTGGGCCTCAGTTTCCCATCTGTGAAATATAAGTACTTTCAAAGAAGGGACAGGGAAGTGGGTGGTGGTATTTAACGCTGGCCTCAGGTCCACCTTTAACTGTGACTTGATCCCAGGGGGACAGGTGAGGAGCCAAGCCTGGGGCCCCCACCCTTAATAGGGCAGATCAGGATCCTGGGCCAGAGACTCGAAGGGCACTCTTTGCAGCATAGCACAGCATCTCCTCGTTGCTATACTTTTCCTACTGTACTTCCTGCCCCGCTGGGTCTGGAGGGAGCCTCTTCATTTACTTGAAGCCAGCTTGCTACTTAAATATCCCTCCCCTCAGCAGAGTAGTCCTTACAGTACATTTTCTTATGCACTTAAAAGGAAGGTATATGGGTGAAAATAATTGCTCCTCCCACACTGTTTCTTCTGGATCAGTTCTCACTTTGAGAAATTCAGGTCTAAGCCAGAGTCCAAGGCGTGGCATTTGGCAATGACTCAGTTTCCCTATCTGTAAAACGGGAATGATCACAGGTCCCCTAGCCCAGGTTGTTATGATATTAAATCCTAAACGTCCTGAACCTTCTAGTATGGCGTCTGCAAGGGGTGAGCGTTCCATTGGCGCATAATTGCTGGAGAGGTGGATGGGGAACACCGAGGGGCAGAGGGGGCATATTTTGGCCTGGGGCAGGGAGGGGGAGCGCGCAGAGGCGTGGCGGGGCGTGGCTTCGCGCCGGGCCACGCCCCTCGGACCCGGGCTCCCGCCGCGCCGGTTCCGTCCCAGGTCCCGGGCTGGGAACCCGCGTCCGCGCGCTTGCTCCTTCCTCGTCCTCCTCCCGTCCGTCCGCCTGCCGGGCCCCTCCTCCTGCTCGCGCTCCCTCCCTGCTCTCCCTCCCGGCCTCCTCCTCCTCCTCCTCCTCCCTTTCTCTCTCGGTCTGTCTCTCCCGGCCCGGAATCCATTCCGGCCCGGAGCCGGAGCGGCGAGGCCGCCCACCGCCCGCCCGCCGCTGGCCGCCGGCCTTTCCTCCGCGTCCACCGCCGGTGCGCCCGCCGCCCGCGCCCGCCGCCCGCCGCCCAGGTGAGCGCCCCCGCCCCCGCGCCGGGCCAGGCCGGGTCCGCTCGGGGCCGCGCCCCGGGGCCTCCGCCGCCCGATCGCGAGCCCGCGGGGCTCCTGCCCGTTCTCCGTCGCGCACCCCGGCTTGAGCCGCGATCCCCCGGCTCGGGGGAGCGACCCGGCGCGGCCTTTTGTTGTGATGCCTCGGGGGAGGGGGCTGGGCGAGAGCGCGGGGTCCCCACCGCCGGGTCCCCCCGGCTCGCCTCCTCCTCCAGGCCGGCGGGGACGCGGGAGAGCCGCGGCCGGGTCTAGGCCAAACCCGAAATCTTAGCCAATCGGCGCTGCCTCTGGCTGCGGCTGCCCGGCCAGGCGCCCCCGCCCCGGGGAGGGTGGGCGGCGGCAGAGGGCGCCGAGGGGCGCCGGGGTGCGGGCGCCGGCCGGCCGCTGGGATCTCCCTGCCCTCCTGGGGCCTCGGGTGGGGCCTGGTCCTGCTGGCCTAGAAGAGAGTGGGCCACACTGCGCGGCGGGTCCACACAGCCCCCAGCCCCGCCCCTGAGCAGGCCCGGCCACCGGCCGGCGCCGAAGTTGGCGAAAGTTTTGGGCTTGGCTACCAGGCCAGGTCCACTTGCTTACCTGGACAGGGGCAGTGGGTGAGTTTGAGGCCGCACCTGGCCATGTGTGATCAAACACAGCCTGTGCTTTCTGAGCCATGCCAGTGTAGGTGGCCTGGGGGGACCCTGAGTCCGGGGAAGGAAGGGTGGGGTGAGTGGGAGGGGCTCACCTGTAGGAAATGCACAGGACCCCTAGGTTCTTCAGTTGGACTTGAGAGTGGACGCAGGGGCCTGTGGGCTTTGGGCAAGGCTGAGCCTCATGGCCTGTGTGCAACTGGGACAGTGGTTCCTGGGTCACCTGGTGAGGCCAGGCCCAGCCTCCTTGCAGCTGAGATCAGATATGGTTTCCAGGATGGACCAGGCTGGGCCCTGCCCCAGGGAAGTGAAGTGGAGTGAGACATTTAGCTTCTTGTTTCTTTGGGTGAAGGCGGCTGAGCCTACCCTTTGGGGTCCCAGTGTGTGAATGGGGCTCCTCAGGTGGGGTCTATGTGCTTATGCATCCAGGCATGGTCCTCAGCACGTGCAGTACCAGTAAGGAGACCTGCCTTGCCGAATTGTCCCCGGTGGGCAGGGTGTGGGATTGCTGGCTGCACTGGAGCTCCTTTTCAGAAGAGGATGAGTTAGTGCCCAGAAAGGTGCCCCAGAACCCTTGGAAAAAGAAACAACTGTGACACCACCCTGCCACCTCCTTGTGACCCTAGGCCACTCACTGCTCCTGCTGGCCTCACTTTTCTAAAGTCTAAAATGGAGCCATAGTAGTGAAAGCTCCTGAACAGTAACCCTTGTCTGTCCTCATCTTACTGCTCAGAGAAGGGAAGTGATTTTACTAAGGCTCCACGGAGGAAGCTGGGATGGCCACCTAGACCTCAGAGGCCCTGCCCAAATCCCTGTTGAATCCCTGTTGGTTATCAATGGTTGCCCAGGATAGGACAGGCACACAACAGTGTCAGAGAAGCTGTGTGATTGATGGAATCCTTGAGGCCTTTCTGGGGATGTGGTATGTCCTATAGTGATGTGATCTTTCCACCCTGGGAAGTGACTTACTGTGTGTCACCTCTCTCAGCTGACTGCCTGCCTTGGCTCTCTCATGCACCCTGGACCAGGTCTCTGTCAGGAGAGCCTTCTGCTCCAGTAGCTCGTCTACCTTCCTATCCAGGCTTGGCTGGAGCCTGTGTCTCCCAGCTGGGCCTGCCCCCCCTCCCCCCGGGCTATGAATTTTCCCCAGCCCACAGCCTGGCTCTTGCTTTGGCTTCTTCCCTGATTTTATCTGTAGGTGGGGGATGTCTCCCTCCCAAAGTCCAGGAGCCAGGGAGGATGTGGCTCAGTGGTCTGCTGACAGACCCCTTCCCACTCAAAGTCATGGTCCTCAGCTGACCTTGTTCCCCCAAAGCTGCCTAGATACCAGCACCCAATGATTGAGCACTGGTGCCTGCTGTATACAGCAGCTCTGAACTTGGCTGAGCAGTGTTGTGGTGGGTTCGGGAAGGTGTGGAGAGGGGAGGAGGTGGTGCCTGAACCAAGGGAAGCAGCTCCCCAGGCGGCAGAGGTCTGGAGCTGGTGCTTTTGTACATTTTCAGATACTTCTGAGGGCTCTTGGGGTAACGGGCAGTGGTCAGTCCAGTGGGTATTTGCTGGGGAATTGTGATCAGGTTCCTGGCCTCTCAGAAGTTTGACTATGGAGCCAAATAACAAACAAGTTGCAAGACAAATTAATATACAACGGAAGATGAGATAAGGGCTCAGAGAGAGGCCTGGGAACAGGGGAACCTTGAAAGAAGAATGAGGGGGTTGGCCAGGCATGAAGCTAGGGGAAGGCTGGCCGAGCAGGGAGTGCACATGCAAAGGCCCTGAGTGGAGGAGCGGGGGAGGCCTGTGGGGCTGGAGCACAGAATGGACGAGTGAGAGGTAAAACCGGGCCTTGTTATCAGCAGGGCTGGACCTGGTGGGAGCCCAGCCTTGGAAGGAGTTTGGCAGCATCTTTACACACAGCCTGAGTGGCGTCCTCTGTCTGAATATCCTCATACTCAGGAGCCAGCCATGGCCCAGCGCCACTCAGCTTCTCGAGGGGCTGTTGAAGGTGAGGTAGAAGCCAGGGAGGCAGAGCTGACCAAGGCACCTGTGGAAATGGGTGTGAGGATGGGCCAAACCAGGTTTCAAGAGGAGAAGGCATGTGAGGCTGGGCTTTGAAGGTGAAGTAGGAGTTCCAACAGCAGGAAGGCCCCAGAGTGTAAGAGCCAGAAGTTAGGGAGGCGCAATGGGAGGGGGAGGCAGGGTGCAAGCTGGGAGGGAGGTGAGCAGCAGGGAAGGTCAGCCTGAGAGAGGAGACAGGAAGTGCGAGTGGGATGGGCCTGGGTTCAAATTCTCACCGTCTCGCGTGCTGTGCGTCTTTGGGTCATTTACTGTCTTTCAGAGGCTTAGTTTCTTCATCTTGAAAATGGAGCAGCAGGTATCTTCCTTCCAGGTTAGAATTAAAAGAGGGCGTTGCCCAGTGCCTGGCAGCGGTGGATTCTCAGAAAATGGACTGTGCTTTGTGCCGTGTTACCCTGGGAGGTCAGTGGCATTTCTCGTGGCCCATCAGCTGTGTGGTCACAGCCTTGAATGGATGATCTCATTGAATCCGAAGGACTGGTCAAGGAGAGGACGTTGGCAGTGAAGGTCACCAATGTGCCGGGTGACCTTGAGCCCCTCCCGGTCCTCCCTGGGCCTTCTCTGTGTATGAGAAGGCTGAACTGGGGAGCGAGCCCTGTCCAGCCCTTCTCAGCTCCTTGGAGCCTGTGGGAGGTGAGGTTGGGCATGTTTTCAGGATGTATCTACTAAGACCCAGAGGGGAAAAGCCCTTTGCCCAGAGTCTGTCAGGTGTCAGGGCCAGGCCTAGTGCTGGGCACTCCCAAGGGCTGCATCGTCCCTGCAGGCCTGCTCTGGGGCTTTGCCTGGAGCTTCATTTCCTGCCTCTGCTTGTGGCCCGTGCTCCTCGCTCTCTCTCGGGTTCCCAAGCCCTTTACTTCCCTGCTCCCTCCTCCTCCCCCACCCCATTTGTCTCCCTGGGAAACTGCTTGGGTTTCCATTTGAGCAGGGGGCACTTCCTCTGGTGGGGCCTCAGTTTCCTCACCTAAGCAGTGGAATAGTGAATCATAACTCCCAGGATGTCCTGAAGCGACAGAAGTAAGGTACTTTGCACAAATGAGGTGCTCAATACATAAGAGTGGGGAAGTGCTAGACATGAGCTCAGATCCTTCCTTTTTAACTGCTAGGCATCTTTCTGGGCTTCAGTTTCTGAAACGGGGGAATGGGCATGGGACTTGGACCTCATAGGACAGGGAGGAGGGGAGCTCTGACTTTACCTGGTGGCTGCTTGGCCTGGCCCCTGTGTTCCAGCCTCATTCCCAGCTCCAAGTCCAAAGTCAAGGTACCTAGCTTCTGTGACACTTGGCCTCCAGTTGTCTCCTTTGTGAGGTCTGCTAACACTATGGTTTGAATCTCTGGATGTTCAGTAAATAGATATCTATTTTTTCTTTCTTTGTTTCCTTCCTCTGGCTTAGATCTCATCCATTTCTCTTTTGCCTAGAGCTCAGATCCCACAGATTTGAAGTGTTGTGTTGAAAAGCATTTTGAGGTCCAGACTTGACTTTGTGGGAAAGAGTGTGGTGATAGATTAGTAATGCCTGCCATGGGCAGAGGAGGAGAGACTATTGTATATGTGTCATGGGTTTGTCATTCCTGATCTATTCAGACCTTCTTTTTTCACTATGGGGGAAATGAGGCCAGATAAACCCAGGGCAAGTCATCCGTGCTGGGAGAAAAGTGCAGATCTGTCTTTTGATCTAGGATTCTTCTTAGCTTGCCTGCCTGCCACCCCTGCCACAGTATAGCTTAGTGGCCTGAGTTGAGGGATTGGTAATTAGGGAGCATCCCAGAGCTGGACTCCAGATCCCCTAATTGTAGGACCTTGGGCAAGTGATTTATCTCCAACCTTGGTCTCTTTTCCTCTCACTGTCCCTAAAACCACCCTGAGACATTCCAGAATAAAAGGAGACACTGGAAGGCAGTTGAGTGGTCTTGGCCCAGTCCCTTCATGTCCTGGTCCTCAGTTTTCTCATCTGCACAGGGTGAGCTCTTTGTTCATGGACACTCTAGGATGGGACCGTGGCTTCTGTCTTCTCCAGGGACAGGCCTGACTGAGTCCTCTTTGGTGCCTGGGCAGGGCCGGGCTGTCCACGATGTGTAGGAGGTAAAGGCTGTGGAACTATTGGAGGCTGTAGGACTGGGTCTTTTGAATCCTTGGGCCTGCTGGACCCTGGGGTGGGCACAATCCGAGTGCAGATGATGATGGGGTGGAAGCTGACATCAGGTGGCATCTGGAAGCATGGCCTCCCTGTTAAGGACTGATCAGCTCCTCTCAGGCTGCTTTGTCCA